TGGCTACATGTTTTTTTTTATTCATAAACTTTTATGTACTTTCATGTCGCAGAATAACTTGTGAATATATATTTAGCTGTCAACCACCACTCATAGCGGAGATGAGGTTTAACCCGCCATTTTCTTCGGAAAATGCCTATACCAAGTCAGGAATATGACAGTTGTTTTCCATTTTTTCGGTTGGTTGACGTAGTCTAACGTTTGATTTTGTCAGTTTTCAAGAACTTTCCCCATTTTGACCTTAGCTTGAAGTTCTTTTTTTTTCATTGTTTGTCTGTCCAAAGTTAGGAGCCTGCAGTCTGTTGGATGTCTTTGGTTGTCGTCTTGTCATAATGGTATTTCTTGTATTGTTATTAGCTTAATTCAGACCAGTGGTTTTCTCTTTTATATGTAAAAATAAGAAGATGTGGTATGAATGCCAATGAGACAACTCTCACAAGCAAAAAACCCTAACTGTAAAATGTAAGGGCATACACTACAGGCACTGCTTATTGTTTATTTCGCATTCAAGGGGTCTTGAATAGCTTTACTATACTGTATGTTCATTGTTAAATGTCGCACATATGTTGACATCCATGCTATTTATCTTTGGTTTGTCGTTGTTGCATTGGCAGTTATATACCAAGGCTTATTTTTATGTAGTCACTCTTTTCACCTTCCCTTTGGTCCTGCAAGGTCACTTCCGGTACTCCACATAGAATGACGTGCCGCTGGAGTTTAAATATTGTTGGTGATTTAGTTAATGTATCTCCAATACGCTAATATTAAAATTTAAAGTCTAGTATGTCAAAAATTTTAAAAACAATTCTTTTCAATGAACTTCGGATTTTTAAATCAAAATACATGTACGTGAAAAATATCACAGTTTCGAACGGATCTATGATTATGCGTTATAGATAGTAGAACTCTGAGTACAAACATATTTGACTTTTATTAGTAATGTTACATGTTACTAACCGAACGATGTAAATATTCTGCTTTACTTTACTTTGCTGCTTTACGTCATTACAAGAAATACCCCCTGGAAACTCCATAATTGCTAACCATAGAAAGAAATAACCGCACAAAGAGTAAAGGCGACAGTAGTTTACCGATATTCAAATTTCGTAAATCGATTAAGAAGAGACAAATCAAAAGTAACAAACAAAATCTGAGGAATCGCATGAACAGGGTACGCGTCTCCTGCTATCATGCATCACCTGCCATGAGAAATCACATTCAAAATATAACAAACAATCGGTACATTACAGATCAGACGAGTATACTTAACAGGCTTTCAATTAAAGACTTTAATACTAGATTTAGCCATTTGTTTTTTGTCGATTAAACCCGGAAGCTTTGCGATGATAAAATGCTGACGTATTTTGTAATACATGTTAAGTGCAAACAATTGAATGGATTCAAAATTAAGAATAGGTAATTTGTCATAGGTAAGGATGTAAATCTCACATAGTAAATCCTGTGATTACACATATTATGAAATAATCGTATCTACAGTAAATCTATTGACATCTTCGCTTTATCTGAATGTTTGTAAATTACTTGACGTGGATTTCATATTCGGAAAAGTACAATCTGCGCACAATAATTTTGCATTACAGTTTAAAACTTACTTTATCATCCTTTTCTTGTATTCCATTTCCTGCAAACTCAAAATGTAACACGTATAAATCAAGATGCTTAAATTAAGGCGCTGGGATAAATGTCGCGGACAACACTATTGTTTAAAATATCTTTCCGTAATTTACATTCTGCGAAAATGATTATACACCAGACAATACTCATAGATCGCATTTTTAAACAAAAAATGTGTTTTTCTTTCTTTTTTTTTTTTTTAAGTTCTTGCTAAATAGTTATTAATTTTTCTAGGTAAAGTTTCTCAATAAGCATCAACTTCATGATTTGCCAAAACAATATTGTGATGCATTAAACTATTAACCAGTCCTAGAAAATACTTTGCTGATTTAAGAATACGTAGGGGATTAATGAATATAAGTTTATGCCATGCAAAATGAACAAATAAGTAGTTTTTTCAACTACATAATACTAGCAGCTTAGAATTACATAATTGTAGTGTCATCTTAAATATATTGGGTTCAAAAATGGGTCTTATCGCCTCTAGATTATTTATCTATTGCAGACGTTCATCTTTTGTTTTCTCTTCTTTCTTTCTTTTTTTTTTTTATTTGTTGTTTTTTTTTTTTATTTTGTTTTTTTTGTTTTTTTGCACTTTTTCTATATAGATATAAGAAGATGCGGTATGAGTGCCAATGAGACAACTCTCCATCCAAGTCAAAATTTATAAAAGTAAACCATTATAGGTCACAGTACGGTCTTCAACACGGAGCCTTGTCTCACACCGAACAGTAAGCTTTAAAGGGCCCCCAAAATTACTAGTGTAAAACCATTCAAACGGGAAAACCAACGGTCTAATCTATATAAAAAACGAGAAACGAGAAACACTTATGAAGCACATCAACAAACGACAACTACTGAACATCAGATTCCTGACTTAGGACAGGTGCAAACAAATGCAGCGGATTTAAACGTTTTAATGGTACCAAACCTTCACCCTTTTTCTGAAACAATAGCGTAACATCACAACATAGAAAGACACACTATAAAATATCAACTGAAATAGCTTAACTCAATCCAAGGACATATTAACACCATATATACACATTAATGTATCAAGGCAACTAAGTAAAAAAGGAAAATGAAAAAGTAGAAAATGCACGTCTGACGACCGTAATCTCGTGATCACTAAAATAAAGTAAACAACAAACAACATTAGAAAATACAAACACTAATAAAGAATGCTTAAATTAGACACATGCAGTTTATTGGGTTGGAAGGGGGGGGGGGGGGTGGGTGATCAAAGAAAACAATAGAAAAAAATCAGCAAAACATTTTTAAAACTAACTTTGATTGAAGAAATGAAAACAAAATACAGGTCGAAGGAAATCGATTGACTAAAGTTACGTAGTATTTCGTTAACAACCCATCACAATGATGCCATTAGACGACAGTTCTAGAAAGTGACAATTGATATTTATTATAATTCTATAGTGTAGAACGTATAATTAAGTAATTAATACTTTAAAGTAAAATACAGTTTTAACTTTGACAGTAATATGTTCCTACAAATGGGATGATATTCCATAGTGAGATCTAGACCTTGCTCTTGTTGGGAATTTCTGTGAAATGTTTTACTAATCTATGATATTTATATCCTTAATTTGATTGTTTTTTGTAATAAAAACATGATTTGTTAAGTCTTCGTTCGAAGATAATGTCCCATAATCCTTTAATGATTGCTTAAGTAATTTAAAGTCTAAAAATGACATTTTTAATTTAAAGAAACCAACTATATTGCGTAAAAATCATTTGTATATTCTAACATATAATAAACAAGTTTATGGCTAAAAGTTTTAAAACCAAACGAAATAATAATTTTATTAAAACTTTAATTTGGAGAACAAACATTTAAAAGGGCGTTAAATAACTAAAGAATGTTATCCCATTTGAGAGATATGAAACTATTGCAAAAATCAAGAACTTAGTTATATAAAACTAAAATGCATTAATTACAGTGTACCAGAGACATATCATATATTATATGTCTCTAAGTTTACTATATCAGTGTACCAGAGACATATGATATTTATATATGTCTCTAAATGTACTATATCAGTGTATCAGAGACATATAATATATATATATATGTCTCTAAGTGTACTATGTCAGTGTACCAGAGACATATATAATATATATATATATATATATATATATATATATATATGTCCCTAAGTGTACTATCAGGTGATATCGAGCAAGTGCATTTTGATGATTAAATATAATATCAAATTCACCAAACTGTTTGATATGTCTAGACTAACAAATGAGATTAATTACCGAGTCATTCCCGACCCCCACCCCCACCCCACAAAGATTGGACGAATTTCTAATATTTCGATGGCCATTTCTATGATTACAAATTCATTGAAATTTATATGAAGGTCCGCCGCGAAAAAATGTAGGCCAAGCATATGCTGTAATAGTGCCAATTTTTTCTAAGTTTGGGTCTTTAGAATTAAAAAAAACATATTACATATTTGATAATTGTTAATATCAAATGTATTCATTTGTGCAATTTCAAAAAATCATCTCAACAATGTTTTGATAATGTAATGTTATAAACGATTTCATCATATTCAACTGAGCAGTTTTCTTTGATGGTCAAATTTACTGATAATACATATCACAGATGATTTTTGACATTTAGATTGTCTTGCTTCCTTGGGTTTTTTTTAGTATTTTCTTTATTTCAAGTTTTTAGTTTCATTTGAAACGGGTAATATCAGATACTGGGAAAGGCGTGGTAGACACGTTTTGTAATTTCAATAGAACTTTTTAATGGACTCTTCATATCATATGAATACAGGTTTTAATACCTTACTGCAATGGGGCTATATTACTCTATAACTATATTTTCTGTCATCAAACGGCACATCTGATATTTATCGTCTTGAAAAGAAGAATTCTTTAAAGTTGTATTTTTCTAACACCGTGTCCATTGTTATGATTATAATTTAGACAATTTATTTCAAATTTACTATGTTAAGGTATTTGTATTCAAAGAAATGTTTACCTGTAATTTATTTTTTATCCAAATATTAGTATCATGTATGGGACAGTAATGTAGCATTAGTGACATATAAAACTTCATAAGGAAGTGACACAAATAAAAAATAGAGATAAACGACATTAAACAAGGCGTGGGAGGATCACGTACGCTATTTTTGTGTTAGTCAAATACACATACATATTTGACCATGAATAAAACTATTTTATCTTAAAACGTTTTTCATAATATTTGTTGACATTACATGCTCATTTACGCATCAAAGCATAGTGTTTACGTTTTCTGAAGTAATTAAATTATTTATTGATTTATACCACGTGCTGGAATTTTACAACAATTTTATTTTTCATTCATGAAACATAGCAATTTAATTGCACCTGTAAAACATATTACTCCGCCGAAGAAAATAAATCCATAAGTGTATAAATATACCTGAACGCGGCAATATTGAACGTAAGGAGCTGTTTCACTAACAAAAGTATAAAAGTTATTAAGGGTTGGAGTTGCTGCAACAGATATCTCAATTTTAAATTTTATCATTTGATATATTTATTTCAAGATGAAATTTTCTGAGACATTTGGCGAAATGATAGCTCACTTTTTGATAATGATTGAAATTGTTCGAGGGATGACCATCAACCAGAAATGCCAGGTAAGATTCTCTTTTATGACTGCATTTATTTTAAACGTGTCTTTAAATTTCGATATTGTAGTTATATTCTAAGCTATATATTCGTTAAAATGGCACGAGCTATAGTAAGGCATGGTACCTTACTTTAAAATAGCTTTCAATAGGATCCTTTATTTTCCTTTTTTAATGGACAGTTCAAAAAATAAGAAGAGGAAAAAGAATTCTATTGGTTTAAAATCGAAACAATAGGATTACTAAATAACACAAAAATGACATACATAAATAATGCAAGCATGTGACAGTGACACAAATTTTGATTTTTTATACAGATTCAATAAATAACAAAATATATTTCCGCGCATATAATAACAGGCTGTTAGATATCTTTTCAAGTATTTTTTTAAACAATCCCGCATCTGACAGTGTTTTTGGTTGATTCGCAGACAACGAAGCGATGTTATTTCTCCTGCTAATCATTTCTCCTTAGGGTGGGAGATAACTGAATTATTCCCGAAAGACAGTGAACTCCGTACAAATGCTGTTCTTTTTTATTTTTATTATTTTTGGTCCCTTTTGGTCATGTTACTCCTCAAGTACTTGAACAGCCCTGGCTTTTAAAACTTTCAGCGTTCCTGGTGAAGGTGTTTCGGATGGACCAAATTTATTAAGTGTTAATTTCATTTTTTAAGATATTATTTTCCAATGTTTCAATGCAAATTATGACTCTTTTTAGTGCTTTTGAAAAAAAGAAAAAAATTTATAATGCTAAAATACACTCAATCAGAAGAACTATAAATAGATAATGGTTGGCCAATTGCACAACTACCTTTAGATAAAAAATCGAAGTCACCGACTTTTACAAACACTATTGTATTACAGACGTGTTAAATTAATTATATTTTTAAACCATACATACACCACTGCACAGTAAAATATTTATAACTGTGTTCTCTTTATAAACGAAGCTGCACGACTTAGAGCAATGACACTTCTTATATTTCCTACATGTAGTCGTATTTTAAATCTGTTTGCGCTTCCAGTTAACAGCCTAATTCATGCTTATTTTAAATTTCATTTTAATTTTGAGTCGAATTTAAACATAAAAGTAGCATTAACAAGTCCTGGAACAAATTTCATGCTTAGGGATATTGTATAACAGAGGACATTTGAATAAAGCGATTTATCAATTTAAGAAAAAAAGTGTTAAACAGTGACCACTTTCTTACTTGATTATTATTTAAGTACTTTATGAGTAAGGGACCTGGTTATCCTTCCATGGGCAATCGGTGTTTGTTATATTCAATCTGCATTTTTTAAATGCTGTATGGACGGTTGCTTTTTCTTTCCTTTTAGAAGTATATTTCCCTTCGATTTCAGGTTTAAGATTGTCCCTCGGTATAATCAGTCTTCTTTTAGAAGGAAAAAACATATGAATTCGAGTGTTTTATTCTTTGTTCTACGTGGATCATTTGGTCGAGATATCTCAAGGTGGACTTCCTTCCTATCCTTTGTTAATCTTGGCTGTCTTAAATTACCACGGGGATTTAGCTTAACGTACCAACTGGTATTATTTGCACCGGATCATTTTCTATTGGGATATCATTCCGTTTGAGACATTTGCAATTGCTTAGCACATTCGCACAGTGACTAACCCTGTTAAACAAACGGGTTTCCAGTAATTGATACTGGATGACTATGGCCGATTTGACAGTTATTGAAGCCGGTTAACTTCCGAATTTACAGTTATTGATGCTTGCGAACTACCGATTTTACAGTAATTGATGCTGGCTAACTACTGATTTTTCAGTAATTGATTCTGTCGGAGGCTTTTTTCCATTGCCGCCTATCTAGTAGGTGCATAAATGAATGACATGAAGGACTAGGATAAACATCAAAGAGATAACAAAAAGTACATTGAAACAAAAAACAGACACCTGAAGATCAACATACTGTCTTCAATATATATATATGCATGCGATATGTCTGCAATTCCTGCCAAGATTTGATTTCAACAGAAACAACTGTAGGTCTTAACACTAAGTTCCTGAATACACAATGTACAGTTAGAAAGAACGGAACCCAATATCAAATTTGGACGTATAAAAATAAGGCGGTGAGGTATGATTGCTTATAAGACAACTATTCCCAATAATATATGTAGTACTAATAGTAGTAGATTGTAATCTCGCGTTATAACTTTCCTGGTCATTCTCTTCTGAATGATTGCCAAGAAAGCATCAGCGAACACAAAACAACTTAATTCATTAGACATGTATTTATCAATTCTACGTCATCGTCATATAAATAGTAAATATTATGTTTAAGTATTGTCAGTTTTGAGCATTTTGTATTAGAGACTTTGAAATCAGACTATTTACTGACCTGTTCATCTGTAAGGGTGCTTTCATTGGTGTTATGTTTACTTAATTTATATCGAAATACAATGCTTTAAGGATTTGCGGTTGATTACAGATTTCTTAGTTATTCACAACTTTTTTATAGACTCGGGAGATTTAGAGCTTGCCACATTGTATAGACACTTGTCTACTGTTGGCGTATTGATCTTGACCTCTAGGTGTATTTTGCTTATTTGTTTCGTTGGGTTGATGTCTCATTTGTGTTTACCACAGATTTCCTTTTATTCATGTTGATCCTGTCTCTCGTTTAAACACAGCCCTGGTGTTTCACATTTTAACCTCAATATTTGACCTTCAAAATTCCTAAACCAGTAAGAGCTATCATGCCGACATTAGATAACGTTGCATGAGTCACAAAACAGGTAAAGTAAATACACATTTTTTTGGAAAATCTATATTACCGCAAATTAATGGTTATTTTAGTATCTTTAATTTAAAAGATTAATTTCCCATATTCTTTAAACCTAACATCGTCAAAAATAGAATATGTCCTAAAGATTAGTAGTTTAATGTATTTTTTGACGACACGATGACAAAAAAGGGTAATTGGACCAAAGGTTTCGTCAGTTGTAAACTGTGTGAAAATATTAAATATGTCTAAGCTGTTATGATTAATATTTCTGTAAACGGATATGCCTATGCATTTAAAGTGCAATCATGTTATCTGTTACTTCTAAATAGGTCTTAAATTAAATCCGATGAATTTTTATTGAACCAAAAAGTTTTTGCATTGATTTATTGGAACAAAAAGGGCGAAGTTGATATTTTAAGACATTTATAGGGTAAAATCTCATAATAAAACTATATTTGACTATATATGTGTATACATTAGTATAACGACGACTATTAAAGCATCTAAAAATAGCCTTGTCCTCTTCTACGCCTGAGTGTCTGAGGTTGATAAAGTATAATTGTCTATCAGAAGTATGCACGTTCTTCTATATTTCGAAATCTCTACCCCAAGCTATCCATAAAAATATATTTTTTAAGTAGTCTCAAAAAACATCATAAAATCAAATTCGACCTCTTCTGGCATAATATGTATATTTAAGAAAGAACATATCACTATATTAGTTTATTAAAATTAGTCTTGTACTGAGGGCAAGTAAGACGCCACACATATATTTTCATGTATGAAACAGATCTAACCAACCCCTTTTTCTTTGAAAATAGAAAGATAGGAATTCTTCCTTTCCATAAATATCTGCACCAAACATTACTTACTGTTGACCAGCTCATGACAAAATACTCTTACGTATTCAACGTTTTAACTCAAAGATAGAAAGAAACATTTGAAAACTAAAAAAAATTTGTTAAAATGAGATAATTATTCGGTCAGCCTGAGACTACTATAACACAGTGTTATAGTAGTCTCAGGGTCAGCGGAAAGGCATTTATTTATTACGTTTTTTAACTGAAACAATTCATATTATATGATATTGCTAATTTTAGTATGAGCCATGTAAAAAGGTAATTCACGTGTTTTCAAGTGCACAATTTATGAAGTAGAATTACTTATTACCGAGAACTGTTGCTGCATGGCTGAGAAATCATTGAAAAGCAATATATTAAAAGCAAAATATAATCGATAATTTCCAGTGCATACAACGTTATTTGTCACATTTATATTCCCACTCAGAATATAATAATAAAATACCTAAACATGATATAATTAATTATTAGTAACACTATAGTACCTTCTATCTCAATTATAACATATACAGCCATAACAATGTTTTGTCATACATCGCATGTTTGTACTTGATGCTTAGATAAAACAAAACAAACTTAATAAACAATTAGAATTGTGTATACCATTTGATATTTTCATAAAACATGTACTTGTAAAATCAATATACAAAATGTTACATCTTTTTATGTTCCGTCTACAATAGTAAGGGGCTTTAGTGCGTCCGCCCGTTTCCTAAAAGTATCATTCGTTGTCAGTTTTTAGCCAGGGGCATGATTCATTATATACATTTTCTCGCTTGATTAATTTTCAATAAGTTTCCCATACTTCACCTACCTCCAATACTTCACCTACCTCCAATACTTCACCTACCTATCTTAAAAACTCATCAAAGATACAGGGCTTATAATCGTACGCCAGACTCGCGTTCGTCTACATATGACTCGTCAGCGGCGCTCGAATCAAAACAGCTAGAAGGCTAAATCAACTATTAAGTTAAGGAGCTTTGAAATCCAAATATTTCCAAAAGTAGTGCCAAATACGGCTAAATCTATCTATGTCTGGAAGTAGATAAACCTTACGGTGTTTTGTAAAATTCAACATTTTGCAAACAGCAAATTGTTGAAAGATAAGACAGTGATAACTTTTCCCTTGGATTTTTTTAACATCCGATTCAGACAAATTAGTTTGGCATAAGATTTATGCTTAAACGGTGAACTATATTAGGGCTATGTTTATGCAATAGGTGCGAGTGGCACCAATTCAAGCATCACATCCTGAGTATCCCCCTTTTGGAAATAAAGAATATATATTGTCTCACAAGAAGATAAAAATAAAATAAAATTACAAAAAAAATTATTCAATTCTTAAAGAAATGCATGCTAGAACCTAGTCTTTATTATATCCCAGATTCATGGTTATATTTCTGTGTTAATACGACAATCAAAACGTTTCCCAACAATGTCCAACATTTAATATCCCTGACTGTCTTACATACACTTTCCTGATTGTCCCATATAATTGTTAACTCTTCAAAACATTTGGAGAATTAGGATTACGTCTTTTGTTTCAGACTTCTATCATCTTATTGCACTGGATTTTTTTTTTTTCGGTGACGGTTAATTGAGGAAAGTCCCTCGAATGCAGTAAATTATATATATGCTCGTTTAAATCATCGCTGTAATTATAATATAGGTAGCGTGATATGATCTTATTAAACTGAAAATCTTTATTTATTTAATAATCGATTCCTGGACTATGTACTTCTCTTAAATTAATGGAAAGCAGTTGTTTGAAAAACACACAAATCTATAAACGCCATTACCGGAAACACTTTTTAAATTGTAGTTTTATATAAAACATAATTTTAAAGAATTAGTTTCTGCCATCATATCATGTATTAATTCACATCACTTTCCCCAGAAATGATTAAACCACTCAATGTGGGTGGGTTTTTCTTTCTTTTATCAGCAACAGAAGGCGGACAACTTTCTCTGCCTCTGCTTTTGACAGTGGCATCGTATTATCAATCATTAATCAATTATTCAGTACTGATTTTTAATTACAGAAATGCCTCTAGTACACAATTTGCTAAAGTTTCTTGAAACAAATCATTATGTATAGTTTATGAATCTTTTCCCACACAATTTTTTTAATATTTTATAGTTTTTACAGTTTCCTGTTTCATGGGTTTTAAGCTTATATTTAATGTTTTCCTATATTTTACATACGTATAACATGCGTTTGGAAACATGCATATACTGTAAAACGACGCATGTTTTAAACATACGTTATTCGTGCATTTTACGCATGCATGATACATGTGTTGTAAATCACATGTAAAACAATTTCCCACATGAAGTCCTTTGATAATTATTTTTTTATTTTTTTGGCTTTATTTTTTTTTTTTCAACAACAACAAAAACTTATAAATTAAACAACAAATTAGAGACAATTATCAAACTGTCCAAAATAAAGCGGATTTAAGCAATTATATGTCACCGTACGGCCTTCAACAATGAGCAAAACACATACTGGTTGTATGGATTATAAGAGTATGAACTAGTTAACTTGACAAATCGGTTTTATAGATGATCTTGTAACATATTTTCTTTTAGCTTGTAACTTGTTTTATAAGCATGTTTTTAGAAACATGTTTTACGCATAATTTTGCAGCGAAATATATGTTTGACGCATGGATTTGAAACATACGATTTACAACTCATTTATTGTTCATGCGTAAAATACATGAATAACGCATGTATGAAACATTTGTTAAGCAGCATATTTATTTTTCATGTGTGATGCGCACAAATAACGCAAGTTGCAATCATGCGTTTTTATATGTGGTGTAAGAAATATACATTTCCCATGCGTTTCCCAACGCACGTTTTAGGTATATAAAATATATAAAAAACATGCGTGGCACTTTTTCCTTTGTATATCTCACAAGCCTTCTTTCATACATTTTGCTCTAAGCATACACAAAAATAGATTAAACAAAGAAAAAATTGAGCTTAGTAATAAGTTGATAGCTGTATGTACCTGTAACAGCAAGGGGATTTGGGAATTCAAATTGCTCAATAAAGTTGAAAACTCCAAATGGAACTTAAGTTGAAAACTGCAAATAAAACTAGAGCATAAAAACTTGTAATTTCGTGACAAAATGTTTAAGTAATTTAAACGTTAAAATATAAGTTGTCCTTAAAAGACAAATCTTGGCACAGAAATGTGACACCAGCTTAAAGATAACATAAAATAGGTTTAAAAAATCCAAAGCACAGCTCCCCTACTGAGATTTCTACTCAGACGTAGAGGTTATTCCGAATGTTATACATTTGTGAAAGTAATTCAAACTGCTCTTCATTGACCAATAACAGCTGTCAGTAGGTTTAAGCAAAGATAGGACTGTCGTATAATTTATTCTATAAACTGCCGAATCATTTTATTTATCTCGTTACAAATATTTCGCACACGTTTTAATATGATCAATATTGTTTTTGATATTTGTATAAGATAAATTTTTGTTGTTTTTACAGTAATGTCATGATAAAAGTTTTATGAACTTTAAATTCTTTCACTTCATACAGAACAATACTCTAGTTTTGTGTTTGTACCCTCCACTACGATTCCCAGTCTCCAGGAGTCAATTTACGAACAACATTTTACTTTATGTGATCGGTATATTACTACTCTGTTATCTAACATGTACAATTAAATGAAATAGGCGAACAAAAGATCAGAAAAAAATAACCCTATATTTATTCAGTGTAAAAATAATTTACTTTGTGAGCATTATATTAACTGTCTGTTAAAAACTTTCTACCCATCGCCGAAGGTCGTGTTATTATCGAAAATGGATGCTTAGAAATCTGGCACCCTTTGATTACCGACTCGTAAACGTTATCCCTCAATGTTCGGCAAAGTGGTACCCTGCATTCTCTGTTCTTATTTTTCCTTTTTAGACGATGATGTTTCTTTTACTCTTGCTACGATTTGTAACTGCGAGCACTGTAACATCGGTACTCTATGTCTAATTGTTTGTTTTTTATTTGTTGTGTTGTAACACCGTGCTCACAAACAAGTTTAACCCCGCTACATTCTTCACATGCCTGTCCGAAGTCAGGCGCTTGGTAATCGTCGATCGCTGTTGCAATTGGTTGCCGTTTACCATAATTAGCTTTCCTTTATTGTTATAGTATAAACCAGGCCGTTGATTTTCTCTTTAGAATCGTTTAACATTTTGCCACCCCAGGCATTTTATAGCTTAGTATAGGGTATGGATTATGCTCATAGTTGAAGATCGTACGGTGACCGGTAATTGTTCACATCCTTGTCCTGTTACCTCAAATGGACAGCTGTCTCATTGGTATTGATACCACATCTTCTTATTTTTATAGTTACTACTTTATGATCTTCTAAAACCATATAAATTTAAACAACATAAAACAACACAAAAGCACTGACTGATTCTTTATCCAATGAGTGCGTTAAGTGGAAAAGAAAATGCTTACCCTTCCGGAGCACATGATTTCGTCTGGGGATTATAACGAACACAGCTATGGGTTTTATTAAATATTAATAATTGTAACCACCATTAAACTGCCTCTCAAGTCCTTATAGTCACCTTAATGGAAAAATAAGTAACGGTGTCATGATTGCCAATGAGAAAACTATCGATAAAGACCACAAGACAAAGATGTGAACATTAATAGGTCACATTGTTTACCCTTAAGTAATGGTGTTGGTACTCTTTCTCTGCCTAATACAATATTTCTTGCATATTTTTTCAGACACCAATCAATATATTAAGCGCTAAAGGAGCTTACATCGAACCTTTACAGAAAAGCAGAGTTAGGATAGACTCATTAAAGAAACCATTTGGAAATGGGTACGTTGCAAAATTATTTCTTATTTTTTTCAAGTTATTTAACTAATCAAAACGCATCGTTTATGATTGAACTTTTGGTACCAACGGGTATTACACTCCGCCAATTAAAGAAAAATAGTTTCTTTACATTTTATGTTTTGTCTGTACTCTTAATCGTAAAACATGCACCCCGGGTATGTTGTTTTGTTCATATCATGATAACATTCTCACTGTGCACCAACTTACTACAAACTCAGCTATAATACTGCAAACTTTTTGGTTAAGCTAGAAAACAAGTTTTGACAATTCTTGCTAAGGACATCTATGCCTTGGGGAAGAAAAACCTTGGTGTTTTCAATTTAAACATTTTTTTAAAATTAATTTTTAAAACTAAAATTTGAATTGAAACTTTAATATAAACAATATTATTCAGAAAACAAATAAATAAACACGTACATCAATTGAAATTTTGAACTGAAAAGCAATTTTCCGTGTTTCATTTATGTGTCTATGATCGAACTATTATTTATTAAAATCGTCAAAATTTGAACCCAATGTCTTAAGTAGTATTTTAATATAACCTAAAATCTAGCTATAACACATCATAATGTGTTTCACTTAAATATCAGTGTATACTATAATTACTAGCGTACCCAATTTATTGAGAAAATAGAATTGAAATTTCATCATACATTTTGTAATTGAAATGCATTAGTCCATGATATCTTTTGATACCTTTACTTACAAAACACCTACAATTTATATATATACTAAAGGGCGTAAAAAGTTGCTTCCAAATATGAAATTTAATGTGGGTCGAAGTATATAAAAGCGAAAGGAAAATAAAAAGCGTGAAATAACCTTGATGTACTTCATTCCATATTTAAAGCCAACTCTGTCGTGAGAAATATATATTTCTGTTTGTGAGATATGATGTCCCTTTTGAAAATCATAATCAAATTAAAGTTTATTTTTCTATTGGATTCTTTCAATTAATAGTTGTATATGCGTAACCTGCATGCGAAACATAGGCTTCCCATTATTAAAATCATTAAGAATTGCTCAAGTTAAATTTATTTAATTTTTATTTCCTATTCAAAATATAAATATATACACTTTTTTCAGGCATGCATTGAGTTTTGATTTTAAAACGACGTCCTTAAGTGGTGTTTTATTTTACTTGAACAATGCAAATACCAAAGAATTTGTTGGAGTTGAGATAGCATCCGGTTTTTTGACCTATCATATAAAATGTCGTCGTCTGGAAGCCGTGTTGACAGTAGCAGCTGCAAAGGTCGACGACGGAAAATGGCATAGTGTAAGTTTATAATTAATAAAAAATAAGGAAATGTGGTTAATAAATTCATCATAAATACCAGGATATCATTGCCAATAAGACAACAAGCCACCAGAGTTAAAATGATGAAGATAAAAGCAATTATAGGTCACCGTACGCCGTCAACAATCACTGTCAACAATGACAAAAACCTGTATCGTATAGTCAGCTTTAAAAGGACCGACATGAAAAATGTGAAACAATTCAAACGATTATTAAAAACAACGGCCTGATTTAAACAATACAATATACTAAACACAAATATGACAGACACGAACCAACGACAACCACTGAATTGCTGGCTCCTGGCTTGGGACAGGCACATAAAGAATGTGGTTGGGTTAAACATGTTTGAGGCTATTTTCTGTCATATTTAAGGAAGGTTGTCTCGTGTATATTAATCACCCGTCTTTTCTTCACCGAATTGAAAATTATGTTTTAAATACGTTTTTAGGTATTACTTGAAGATATGGAAATGACCAAAATATCGCTAAAATGGATGTTTGAAGTCAGTTCTGAAAAAGACATTTGTTAATACCATTGTAACAATAATCAAAATATAAATCATGGTGTATTTTGACTTTCAATTCCTTTTAGCTTCATAACATCTTCTGAATTCTGAATTATTGTAGTATATTATTCAAAAATATGAGCATTGATGAACTGAATTGTGTACGTTAATTCTCAGTTGGTTTATTTGTATTGTATCTTTACTCAGATTGTGTATAGACGGAAGAGGAAACGTGGACGTTTGATTGTTGATGGGAAGCATTATTTCCAGAACTATAGAATAGCCTGTGATAATGAAGGATTTGCCTCTATGACATTGGGTGGTATTCATCCTGTTGATATTGATTTCGTGGATAGTTTCGAGGTATGAACAACTAAATATTGAAGTATAATAATTGTACTTATGTTTCGTGAAAATTTATATATTTCAATTGTCAGTCTTTTTGTCTGTGTAAATGCGAAAAATGTAAGTTTGACAAACTTAATATCTTTACATAAAATCTTTATCGGTCATTTTATCATATTGCTCTATCTAACCATTTTGTTAAGAGTGAAGGAAGTGTGGGGTTTACGTCAGTTAGACAGAAACTCAACGACGGACACAAAATTTGGTCTTCAAACCAAATGACTATGAATGTAGATACGCACGTCATCTGTACTTTTAGTTTGTACACTTTTACGTACTGCTATTAAAGCGATAAGTAGAATTCGTAGAATATCACCGTTTTGAAATTAGATATTTCCTTACGTAAACTGTCTACCAAATGCCTTTGGACAACTGGATTGTTAAAAGAGCTGATTTGTTTTAAAATGTAATATGAAACCAAACAAATATGCGTCTATCGTGTTTTGGAAATATTTGCCACATCAATAACTTCATTTGATATTAATGAATTGCTGGAGATTAAAACTACCTTTTTACCAGTTTTTATAAAATGCCCCAAGCTGGAGAGGATGGTGATTTTCGTTCTTAGATATGAAAACTTTATAACATTCGGTGATGTTGGTCAGCTTGTCTTTCGTCGTCGACTTATGGCCTTTGTATCTTCTTACACTTTGGCTCATTACAACTTAGTAAGGACGTTATCAAACAAAATTTATAAAACCACTTATTTATTAAACAATTCCATGGCACGTGGCAAACGGCATCTATATGTACTTTCGTTGCACTGTATATCAAATGTCACTTTTTGACACGTTTCATCAAATTAACTTTCAATAATGTTCGTTAATATCATTTCAATGCTAAATATTTTAAAATCGTATACACAGTTCTAATATTTAAGTACGTTTAATCAATCAGTTATTTAAATGAAGGACTTCAATAAATTGGCTAATTGAAAAATGTAAATTAACTTTGTATGTCAAAGTGTCAAAATAATATTCAATACACATCATGTTCATTTATATTTAAAAGTATTGATTTTCATGATCTTGAAAATTGACACTTACTTTGGTGTTAATTTGGTCATAAATTGTGGTTCAAAATCGAAACCTTGCAATGAAAATGTCAGTATTCAAATTTACACAATATTAAATCCGCCCATACACATGACAATTGAAATACGACAGTATGAATAAAAGTTCGACCCATTTTTTGTTTTTTTGTAAGTGTTTTTTTTTCATAGCTAGTACTTCGCTGCTGTCAAAAAAGTCTTGTTTGTCAAGACAAATAACAAGTATTCTATAAATGACAAATTGGCAAAATACAAATTTTTCTAAAACTTTTTTTTGTAATTTGACACAAAACGATTACATATCATTTAATTTTAAACACAATTTATTGTAAATATTTAATAATGATCAAACAATTGTAACGAAAACAAGTTGTAAAAATTGTCTCGAAAATCACCTCAAAGAACCTCCTTTGTGTATAAAGGAGGCACATTCGCTAACTGGCTTTAAATCTTTCGAAGTATGAATTTTATCAAAACTTCATCAGAGGCACTCTTCAGATCAATTCAGGTCTTATGCAAATTTTTACTTAATCTACCGTGACTTGGATTCGTCCTCCTTTGTAAAACAATTAAAATAACTTAGTTGCTGTGTAAACTGTGTTGGACGTCTTGTTTATATATATATGGTGTACTAATTTTTGCACCTTTTGTTTGCGGTATACCATCTTTTCCGCAAGTTTACGTATTCTGTTTGGAATTAAATTAATAATTATATCCATTTTGTTACATCTGGTGATCCGTTTATTTGGCAAACACCAATGGCAGTCTGCAGGGTTTAAGAACATCCGTTGTTCGACCTGCTAGTCAAATGCGTTTTGTTAAGATATACTTTTTCATTTTTTGGGTCTTTTGGAAATAGTGTTTGTGCTGTATTTAGACCCCTCTACCAGGAAATTTGTTTTGCTTGCACACGTATAAAAATTGCGGTTTTTATCCAACGCAATCATAGGTTTGAACGTTGTTTTCAATTAAGACTTGTTTATATTTTTTCGTTTGGGCTGGTATTATATTTGCCTTCGAGTTTATATGATCCGTTCATCCTATTTCGACTCTTCAAAATTCAAGAGTCTATCCAAAAATGAGGTAAATTATATGGCCTTCCAAATACCGTTTCTATTCCTAACATCACTGAAGAGACATTAATTGACGAAATCCGGATATGGTGTACTATTTTTTGCACTTTTTGTTTGCGGTATACCATCTTTTTCGCAAGTTTATTGTTTTCTGTATGGTATCAAATTAATAATTAGATCCATTTTGTTACATCTGGTGATCCGTTTATTTGGCTGTCGCCAATGGCAGTCAACAGGGTTTAAGAACATCCGTTGTTCGACCTGCTAGTCAAATGCATTTTGTTAAAATATACTTTTTCACTTTTTTGGTCTTTCGGAAAATGTTGTTTGTGCTGTATTTAGACCCCTCTGCCAAGAAATTTGTTTTGCACGCACATGTATAAAAATTGCGATTTTTATCCTACGCAATCATAGGTTTGAACGTTGTTTTCAATTAAGATTTGTTTATATTATATATATATATATATATATACCTTCAATGACTATTTTACATAACAAAGCTTATAATTCAATGGTATTTGTTTGTTTTTAGGGTAAAACTGGACATTTTGAAGGTTGTATCAAGAATGTAGACAACACAGCTGGTATACTGACTTTACCTAAATACACGGGTGTTTCCGAATGTGAGTAATCCCGATGTAAATCGAAATGAGATTTGAATGATTATCTCAAATAATGTGTTCAGAGGCAATGATCTCACTAGTAAAACAAATCTACTCTTCGTTTTTTCCCTTTTTGTCGTACTATGCTGCTTAGAGTAAGAGACAATATAAAGGATGAGTTTTTACAAGAGTGTTATTCAATATGGAATAAACGGAGGAACAAAGGCAAACGTATACGAGATCTTATAGTGGACAATTGAAAGATACAATGTGACATGACATGTTTTCTGCAACTAGTTTATATTAAAATACCATGTGCATAATAATTGTCAGCGTAAACAGCTATTTATCCATCTGCATTTACATTTATAAGATAGATTTTGGTGCCGATAATTCATAACATACCGAACTTGTATAATACAGCCTCTGACAATCCGGTTACAGTATTTGCAAAACGCTGCAAAACATTTTATTTTCAATGATATTCATTGTTTATTTTTACTGCAGCATTTCTATGATAATCAATCATTGCAATTCATAAAATCATCATTATTTTTAATTCGATTGATAATTGTGCGTTCTGCATGTGCAAACTTAAGTTTATGTCATTTCTATGTAACAGTCTTTGACATCTGTGTTAGATATAAAACTGTCCTTAAGCACATTTGGAAGGGGGATCACCGGCATAGAGGTAATTTTTTATCGGAAATCGAGTTGTACTATTACATAGATATTTAACCGCTAACTTACGTAGGATCATAAAGATTGTTGAAAGCCTACGTCGATTTATAGAATTCCAAACAGTATCATATCATCATATACTCTTTCGTTTTCGGTGCGCATGATACGTATTTCCTCAAACAACGCCTATAATGTACGGTACTCCCCAGATCAAATTTGCGGGAAGCCTCATATAAAAAAGTTGAAGAATCGAACCCAAAAAAAAAACCCAGATCAAACAGCATTAAATTAGCATGTCTTCAAATTTTGCCTGATGCTTTTTTGTACAATTGCATAATTTATAAACTGAAAGAAGGAGGTAAAATAAAAGCCTGTAGTTGCCCCATAACATGACAAAAATATTAAATTCTTCAATCCTGTCAAAACATTTTGATTTTACTGACGAATGAATGTGACGAAAAAGTCTGATCACTTTAGTGCAGAAACGTTATATGTGATGTCACTGTTGGGTCACTTACATGTCAAAATCGACGTATTTGACACAAAATGTCCATTTTACACATAGTTATCATCAGCACCAGCCTTACACAAAAAAGTATTTTACTCACAGTAACATCTTTGTATGGGACATCATGCAGCTACATGTGACGTTTTTGTGACTAAAACTGTTGATGATATTTAAATGCAAAAGCAAGATCATCGGACAGTTTTGACTTAAATACAAATAGTTTGAAAGCATAAGCAAATACGTATGACAATCCATAAACTTAAACACTCGTATCTGATAGTCTTGTATCTCTTAAACAATTTCAAGGGGTCAAATTTATCGTTATTCGATTTGATGTTTTGATATACCAACTATAGCTGAACGGGTCCCTGTCGTCACGCTGGGTACTATAAGAACGTACCCTGGGTAGATTTTATGTTATGAAAACTACGCATGTCGAAATAAAAGTATTTAGGGGTACCCAGATTAACCCACCACCTTAAAAGCGTACTCAAATTGAATATAAAGTAATTGTTTTCGGAATAGTTTGGTATGTTGATAATACTGTACTCATATACTTACATCTTCCTCATTATGGCGTTTGTATCGAAAGTAAACGAAAATGATATAAAGGGTACTTTCTTATGGAATCCTGGTCGACAATGACCTGTTTAGCCCAACTATGGTATGATGACTCTTGAGATTGGAAAAATGTATAGATGTGTATTAACCAATCATAATAACAGAGTAACATTTTGATCTATTATGAATTGAACTCAATGTCGGCATTGCCTAAAATGTTAAAATGGAATATGTTTGTATAGTTGTTATCTTTGTTATAATTTAAGCTTTTGATGTTTGTTTGTGTTACTTTGATTAATAAAGAATTGTTGTTGACATTTATAATACATTGTATTCAGTAATTTACATGGGGAATAAGTTATCTAACGAATGGGTTCGTATGTGACTTGCATTTTTCAACTGCAACCGTGCCAACGCGTTTGGGTATTTTCCAATTTGAAATGAAATTACAATAAAGAAATGAAAACAACACTTCATTAATTCCATACGTTCGTAGCGGTTTTCTGGGTGTACCTTCAACATTAATATATTTTACGTTCCAGTGACATACATTTTTGGAAATCGAACTTGGAGCGATACGATTGAATACATTTGTGAAAATAAATACTTGCTGCCTTCACGTTTTGAAAGATCTTTGTATTTATAAATATACTTCAAAATGGTACTGGCACCAATTAATATATAATATGTATAGGACATTTAACCACAAAAAGTGATGATTTAGTTTCAGTGAATGTGACTATTCTCTTTTGTCGCGGACATAGGCACAATTGACGAACCAACATTTATAGGTGTAGACCAAACACGGGTTGATGTTCAGAAGCAGTTTGCTTACTTTGTGTATTGTCTCCTTTTGGATTGTTCATGTGATTTCTGTTTTCTTGTATCATTAGTTTTTCTTTTTTTAAAACGTTTATCTTATTTAGTGGCACACAATAATACTTTTTTTGTTTAAAACTTCATCGTTTAGTGGTATAATGGAAGGATACAGCTTAAATTTGTCGGAGTGTTTTAAGTTATCATTTGGTCAAGCCTCCGATTTCTACATCTCTGTCCACGTCGAAAGTGAAATTTTTTTATTACGTCAATATTCCCTTTCAAAAGTTGACACTATTCCCTTTAAAAAATTGACACTATTCCCTTTAAAAGGTTGACACTATTCCCTTAAAAAAGTTGGCTCTATTCCCATTAAAAAGTTGACACTATTCATAAAAGGATCATTCTGTTTAAGTGAAAGACATTTTCTAAAAAAAGAGATCATTATATTCCAGTAATGTTTCTTCTATTGGTCATCTTTTCGTTAACAATTTTACTACATAATGAATGAATGAAAATAACACTTTATACGTTCGTCCGAAACACTGTACTTGATTTACCTTCAGCATTTTCATATCATGAAATATTGAATCCTAACTGTAAGTCTACTATTTTGAAAAAATTTGGGTGTTAATAATAGATTAGTCTGTTGTGCTGTCTATGAACTCCTCAAAATTGTGATATGGCGAACAACATTTAGAGTTACTGAAATATTGTAGCATTTATGTCAGATATGATAGTAAACACACGTTCCTCTTGTTTAAGCATTGATTTCCACTTAAGTTTTGTGACATAAATGCTGATTAAAACGTCAAGGACTAGGTAGTCGTAGAAAACCCTTTTTTTATGTGTTTTCGAAAATGTCCAAAATGTTGTCAACGGGAGACGACTACAGCATTATTCTGAGGAAGAGAGATGCATAATATAAAGTTTAACAAATCAAATCAAATCAAATATTTTATTGTCGTATAAACTTTACAGTTTGTGACCAACATGTATTATCACAATAAACATATATACATACATATCAAACATACACAATAAAAAAAAACAGCATCAAAATTTATAAAAACAAACAAGCTGTTAAGAGTCCCCTGTCCTCAGTTCTAATGACTTTTTCAAGAAGGATCCTAACTTATTTGTTTGTAAAGGCGTTGATGAATTTAGTAAATAATGATTTTTTTTCTTCATTTAAATTATTAAAGTTATTATTTTCAGTACACATGTGTTCAAGAAAGGCATTTCTTAGTGTTTGATTATAATCACAATAGAGTAAAAAATGTTTCTCATCCTCTAGTATTTTACATTTATGACAACGTCGTTTCTCTCTTGTGATTTTAAATATCTCCCCTTTTCAATTAAGAGGGAGTGATCACTTAGTCTAAATTAGATGAAGAACTGGATCTTCCATCACTGTATTGGATACCTAAACTACATAAGTGTCCTTACAAACAACGGTATATTGCTGGGTCTTCCAAGTGCTCCACGAAACCTCTTTCTAAATTATTAACATCTATTTTATCAGCAATCAAAGCCGGGCTCCAAAGTTATTGTGAAACTGCCTATTCTAGAGGTGGCGTGAATCAGATGTGGATACTAAAAAATTCCAAAGATCTTTAAGAGTACATACAATCTAAGACTCTCTCATCTTGCAATAGTATTAAAACATTTGACTTTTCTACACTTTACACAAGTATTCCCCATTCCGAACTAAAAGACAAATTGAAAGAGTTGGTATTACTTTGTTTCATTAAGAAGAATGGCGAACGTAGATACAAGTATCTTGTCTTGGGGAGGGATAAATCCTACTTTGTAAAGAATCACTCTGATTCAAACAAAAAATTCTCTGAAACTGACATTATCAAGATGCTTGATTTCTTGATTGACAACATATTTGTTACGTTTGGAGGACGTGTTTTTCAACAGACTGTCGGAATTCCTATGGGAACCATTTGTGCCCCTCTTCTTGCCGACTTGTTTCTTTATTATTATGAGGCTGACTTCATACAGGAACTTCTTAGGAAGAAAGATAAGAAGTTAGCAATATCCTTTAACTCTACGTTCCGCTATATAGATGATGTTCTCTCACTAAATAATACAAAATTTGGTGACTATGTTGAACGAATCTATCCCATCGAACTAGAGATAAAGGATACTACAGATACAGTTAAGTCTGCCTCATATCTTGACTTACATCTAGAAATTGACAATGAGGGTCGGTTGAAAACAAAACTTTACGACAAAAGAGATGATTTCAGCTTCCCAATTGTGAACTTTCCATTTCTATGTCGCAACATTCCAGCAGCGCCTGCATACGGAGTATATATCTCCCAATTGATACGATATTCCCGGGCTTGTGTTTCCTATCATGATTTCCTTGATAGAGGATTGCTGCTCACAAGGAAGCTATTAAGCCAAGAGTTCCAAATGGTGAAGTTGAAATCATTCCTTCGTAAATTTTACGGACGCCATCACGAGTTGGTTGACCGTTATGGAATAACCGTTTCACAGATGATATCGGATATGTTCCTTATGTCGTAACTACCAGACCCTTCCCTTTTCACGAATGTGACTTACCGAATTAGACTATTTACCGGATTTGTAATACATAAGCAACACGACGGGTGCCACATGTGGAGCAGGATCTGCTTACCCTTCCGGAGCACCTGAGATCACCCCCAGTTTTTGGTGGGGTTCGTGTTGCTTAGTCTTTAGTTTTCTATGTTGTGTCATCTGTACTATTATTTGTCTGTTTGTCTTTTTATTTTTGGCCATGGCGTTGTCAGTTTGTTTTCGATCTATGAGTTTGACTGTCCCTCTGGTATCTTTCGTCCCTCTTTTAGTGATCAATCTTCTTATCTGAAAATTAGATATATTTAGAAAAGATTCTAGTTTGCAATCTTTTTTAAGTTTTTTATATAGATAAAACTTACTTTTATCATCAATGTTTTCAAATTTAGTTTCAATTAAATCTTCATATCTATTTTTCATTTTTAACTTTATATCGATTTTTATTTTATTTACATCTTTTATGTCCTTACAAGTAGAAAGAATATTAAGGTCAATATTAGTCTCTTCAACAATATTTTTTGCATATGTATACCATGAATAAGTTCCAGTCAAATCTAGAGACTGTGCTAGAGAGAAAGCTTCCTTTATCAATGGATTAATAATATTATTATATAGTCTAGCTAAATATAAAAGGGTTTGTGTTTTAATAAAACATTCTATAGGCAATCTTCCTAATTCAACTCTTGCTCCTAAATTGGATGCATTTTTTCTTATTCCTAGAGTAGATTTACAAAATTTAAGATGCATATTTTCAATAGGGGTCTTGTCTGTAAAATCAAGTTGATTAATTTGTTTTCCTGAAGATAAGGCTCTGTTTTTGGCTCTATGAAAAGAAATATAAGTATCCAAATATGTTACTTCTGAATTATAGGTCATAATTGGTTTTACTAAAGAATCAAAAAGATTATTTGCTACTTTTATAGGTAGATTATTCAATGATTTAGCATAGGATTTTATTGCAAAAAATACTTTTTTTGCCTTTTTTGTCAGCTCTAAAGTACTTTGTGATAAATTTTCATTACATTTTATCAACATTCCCAAATATGAATATTTTGATACGCTCTCTATGGCTTCATTCTCATAGTAAATATGTGATGTTTCACCATTTTGTTTGGACTGACTGAAAATCATGGATTTTGTTTTGTTTGTATTTAAAGAGAGTTGCAATTTGTTGCAATATAATTTAACATTATTCAAACTGTTTTGAAGACCCTCTTTCGATTCTGACAGGATCAAAAGATCATCCGCAAAAAGGAGGCATCCCACCTCACTATTAATAAGCTTAAGGGGACTTGAATCATTTCCCTCAAAATTTTTTAACACATTCAAGTGTATCAATCAACATAAACTTCTACACACAACATTCCTTATTGTTTGTTAAAAGGGTTTACGAATGTAAATTGACTTGGGTAAGGGTTGTAATTTGTATAAGTGATCGCTGTTTTTAGGTGTTATAGAGAAGCATCCAGTAATTTTAAAGACGGGTTATATGTCAGTTCTTCTGTCAAAATTATGATATTTTTTACATTATTTTAGCGATTGTTTACACACTAAATCAAAATGAATTAATGTGTCATTGGTTTTAATCATATTGCCCCATCATGACTTGTTTCACCGGTATTTCATGTATGTGTAACTAATCAACAGATAAATGTTCTAAATGTCATTGTCCCACTATGACTTTTCGACGTGAGTAACAAGAAAGGTGCCGCATAAGAAACATCAAATACTGCTTTCCTTTATAAGGCACATGAATTCACCCCGGTTTATAGAAAGGTTGATGATTCACAATCGGATTTCCTATAGAATGCCTTGTTTGCCTTAAACTCTTTTGGTCATATTACGTCATGTTTAACCCCGCCGTATTTTTTAGCCTATCCCAAGTCAGGAGCCTCTGGCCTTTGTTAGTCTTGTTTGTTTTTTTAATCTTAGTTCATTTATGTGTTTCGGAGTTTAGTGTGACGTCCATTTTCACTGAACTAGTACACATTTTTGTTTAGGGGCCAGCTGAAGCCCGCCTCCGGGTGTGGGATTTTCTCGCTGTGTTGAAGACCCATTGGTGGCCTTGAGCTTGTCTCTTTGACACATTCCACATTTCCATTTCCATTCTCAATTTTATATTGTCTCTTCTGCTTCAAGTTAAGTTCTATAGATGAATCTTGATATCATCCGCTTTAACTTGAATATTACACATTTTTTCTCAGGGCTTTTTAAAATTATCATTATTAAAAGCCTCCAATTTCTCTACTTCTCTAGACAATGGAAATGTTTTATTATGTCAATTCTCCTTTTAAAAAAAGTTGACACTGTTCACGAAAAGATCATTCTGTTTAGAATAAGACACTTGCTGAAAATAAATGTTCGAAAACAAATTTCACACTACACAAATGTAATTATCGAAGCCAAACTGTGAGTTTATTTTCTCGGAAAAGCTGGGTTTTAATGATAGATGTGGTCAGTTGTTCTGTCCAAGAACTCTTTAAATATAAGATACGGTAAAAAACTGAAAACAATAGTTTATAAATTTTATGCATCCGAAGTGCTTTTCTGGATTAACCTTCACAGCCAATGATGTAAAAGAACCAAAAACAGGTGAAGAGCTATATGAACAATAAGGACATAAAATAAAAGGTCAACTTGGCCTGAGGGAGTGAAACTTTAGTTTCTTAATAATTTATAACTTAATAAACGGACAATTTAAGAAAGGTTTGATATAAATCATGTCAGTACCGAAGTACTGCCTGCTGAGCTGATGATACCAGAGGTACTGATAGTCCACCAACAGCGGTATCGACCAGTGCTGTGAAAAAATTAATGCAACATTTTACAAATTCCATGCGTCAAAGGCGCTTTTCTAGATTTACTTGCATCAAGAACACCCAGACCCAAATATTTGAAAGCTAATGATGTATAAGAACCGAATCAGTTGAGGAGCTCTATGACAAAAAAGAAACTAAACAAAATAGCCAAATCTATCTAAGGACAACTTTGTTGAAACCTTAGATAATTTAAAAATTAATAAACGGATAATTTGAGAAAATTTTGTACCTAATTACTGACTTCTGAGCGGATGATACCATTGGGGACTGATAGTCCATCAGCGGCGGTATCGACCCAGTCCTGTAAAAGATGTTTATATTCGATAACGTTCTGGCTCATAATAACCCACATTGCAGTCTCGTATATCCAAGTGAACTTGAGATTAAAGATGCTACTGAAACTAAAAGGTATACTTCCTATATTGATCTTTTCCTCGATTTTGATACAAATGGACGAGTTCAAAGTAGAACCTATGACAAAACAAATTTCCATTTCTCAGCAGTAACATACCCTCTGCTTCATCGTATGGCAATTAATTATCTCAATTTTGAAAATGTTACACTCGTGCATGTTCACACTATACAGACTTCGTTAACAGGGGTTATCTCCTTACACAAAAAAACTGCTTCAACAGAGTTAAGGCTGAGTATCGACTTAATAGCGAAAATGTTTTCGCGGTGTTGGATCTTTAGATACCAGAAAAGTAGTCTGATCTGTTATTTTATCGATTGTGTCCTATTCCCGACTGTGACTTTTAAACGGAGTGTGGATTCAAATGTCGGGTGGTGCATGCATATGCATAGCAGGAGAGGCTTACCCGGACGACGTACTTGGTCTTGCTCTTTTTGAAGTTCGTGCGATTCCATCTGTTTTTGTTGTTACCTTGATTTGTAACTTCTCAATCGATTTATGAGATTTGAACATCTTTAAACTAAGATTGCCTTAATTTAAACGACAAGGGGCACGAAGAGAATACATGAGTTGAGGTGATGTAAAAAGTAAAATCACAAAAATACTGAACTCCGAGGAAAATTCAAAACGGAAAGTCCCTAATCAAATGGCAAAATCAAATGATAAAACACATCAAACGAATGGACAACAACTGTCATAATCCTGACTTGGTACAGGCATTTTCCAGTAAAAAGGATTTTCTATACTATTTCCTATTATCAATTCTAATATTTGACGGGATTTGTGGCTTCGGGAACTTATTTGAATTACTACAGATAATCAAGAACACTGGCTTTGATTTATCAATCTATATTCATTCATAGAAAAATATAATAACAATCATCAGTAAAGGTATACAAAATGTATAGCATCACATTTACATATAATAGTTTCATATTTACAAACACAAAATAGTCATGATAACTAAACAACAGTACCTGAAAGAAAACAACCATGACCAACTTCATCCAAAGGATAGGAAATTGGAGATAAAAATATTCATCCCGGTCAAAATCTTTGTATGATTCTTATTAGTTTTTTATTTCATATTTTCATATCATATAGCAATCTTAACTACATAAAACAATGACTTTATAATAGAAAAAGTAAAGTCAGTAAACATTTACAGACGCGAATTTATTTGATTCAATTTCCATAAAAAAAGACATTGTATTGCTAGTAAAATAAGCTTTTAATCTCTGATAAAAGGACTATTGCATTTATTAGGAACTCAACGCTAAAAAACATAACGTGCATTAAACCAAGGACACGTCAGGTAGGTATTAAATCACATAAAATACAAATAGTGTAAGATTATTCCTGATTTCATTTACAATATATTTAAAAACAAAGAAAATAATGCAGAAGGAGCACATAAATCTTTATCTGAGCTCATCAATTTTACACATATGGCGGAGTCCATTCTTTGTTATAGGGAACCTCTAAAAAAAGAAGTTAGAAGCACGATATCATAAGGTTCTACGGATGGTTTGATTTTTTTTTGTTGTGATCAAAACAATGGTTAAATAGGAAGTTGTGGATAAAAAAAATGCAGACAACGAACAGATGCCATGGTCACTATAAACCAAACACCGTGGAGGTAACTATCTGGTGCATTTGAAATATGTACACATGTATGACTTATAAATGTCTATTGTGATATGAGAATGTAGATTTATGTACAATGCAAATATTTGTCATTATATATCAACTGCAAAAATTAAACAAACTTAAATTAAATCACTTCCTATAGAAGCTTTTAAGTCTGGTCTTGTTTGGTTTCTCTTTTGATGAATTCAAGTTTCAAAACACATTTTGTGTATTACCCTCAAATTTGTGATAGGGATCAAACAGTGTTTCCATAGTAAATACATTTTCTTCATACACATTTTTTTTATTTAGCACTTTCGCTGGATACCTCACAAGTGTAGCATTACAAGACTGTAGATCGTAACCATAAATGCCGTTGTAAATGATCCCATGACCCTAGGAGCTGCAGATATTCGACAGATTAATTGATCAAATCTGAAATACAAAAACGTTTTCAACAATTTGAAGTTGTACAGATTTTTGTGTGAAAGTATTCATCGTCCTATATTTTTGAATACTATACAATTTTTAGTTGTGTATGCAGTGTAAATATTTTGGTATTTTGTTTTGGATATATTTATGCCGAAATCTTTTATTTTTCTGTAAATTTGATGTAATTAAATTCAGGTGTCAACATTTTGAAATATTTTATGGCGGGTGATAAATGTAGGAAACGCTTAACCTGTCTACGCAATTGGTCTTGTACGCTCATATGTTTTTTTTTACCTTGATTTTTGTATTTAAAATGATTGATTTAAGATATTTGAACATCAGAAAAGTACTGTTGCCTGTAATTTATATTAATTTTCAAGCACATATCAGCAACATCTGTCTTGGATATGGACACTGGTACGTATACCATATGAATATCATGATAGTAAATGCACGAGAGAAAAAAATATGGCATATACAATTATTGTCACAAAAAATACTGAAACAAGGTTACAAAACTTCTAGATTATAATTACTAACGAAATTTTATGATTACTAAGAATTTTGCGAACTGTCAAGCACAGAATGTCTCACAAACAGTTGTTGACATATATTTCTTTATGATTGTCGTTCTTTGTTCGGATATAATACATGATTTTTGTGCCATGATAACCAAAAATGTGACAAGTACAGTTACCTTCAAACGCAGAAGGATGTGTAAACCATGCGGGAACACCTCGCTGTGTTTTGGGCGTTCATATTGTCGAAGTTTTAGTTTAAATTAATATTATTGATCATTTGCATTGTTCTGTCCATTGTTTTATAGTTGTATACTATTTGTACATATATTTGGGATTTAGGTTGTTCTTTTTGTTTTTCTATGCTTCGAGAATATCTTACAAATTGTATATATCTATTTATGTCTCTTTTGTGCGCAAGGGGCTGTCATTCCCTGAACATACTATCCGCATATTAGCCAGGACTGTGATGTCGGCATAATTCAAATTAAAAGATTGTGTTTATAAATTCTAACCATTTCATTAAATCATGTATAGGATTATACGGCAAAGTTGACTTTAAACGGATTTTTTTTTATTTTTTTTTTGGGGGCTGCTTAGTTTTTTGCTTTCCAACGTTTCATATTTTGGCTTCCAGAAAATTTTGTCTCCAACGTACCAGATGAAGATTATTCCAGAAATATGTGTTGTGCACATGGAAATCATGTCCGTGATATATTTTACTACAGTGTCCAAAGAAAAAACACCAAATTTAGTTTCCTGCATAACCATGACTGTCAATTTTAGGGTTGATCGTAAATATTTCCGCAATTTTATTACACACACTGTCAAATTTTCAAATACCAGCTAAGTTGGTCCATAAAATTGTTTTAATAACCTACCAATTATAATTTTTAGCTTCTTCTTTATAAATATAATTTTCATTTTCCTTTAGGTACATCACATATTAAAATAGCGCCTTACATACCATTTGTTCGCATGTAAATATATTTTTCACTTTGCAAAAAAGAGTTGAACATACCTGCTAAACAGGTTCTTTTGTTTCTTTTCATACTCAAGTTCAATAAGGGAACCTTCAATCCAGAATTTCCCGTCACGAATTTGATACTCGTGTCCTTGTTTGCAATCACATCGGTATGCTCCACGCGAAAATTTGAAGCCTGCTTGTGGTCTACACTGTAAAAATAAAGAGATATTCAAAACTGATCAAACATGTATACAAACCAGTTTTTTTTCATATATTGTTCTGATTAAATCTTTTTTAAACGTAATTAAAATAAAATAGAATATGCACTATTAAAAAGATAGACAATGTGCATTTTTAATTATTCATACCAGTTCAATATTTGTGAAATATGTTTATCTCCTCTTCTATAAACTTTTACCCTTTCAATGTGTTATTTTATGTTGGAATCATGACACTCTAGTATAAAACAAAATTATTCGGGCTTCACAGGAGATATGAATATTCCATGGTGTGCCATTTATCGTCTTCGACGGTTAAAGGGATATAAAATTCTGATATAGAATAAGAGCCGATATCCCCGATGAAGTTTCCGATTATCATATAATGTCGAATATATACGTCATTGAGCCTAACGTCATAAAAATCAAAGATTACGGATTTTGCTTTATGTGATATTTCAAAGCTACCAATTATTTCTTATTGTCTTGTGGTATTAATTTGCCTATAACAAAGTACTTTTTTAGTATTAACAAAAATACCGTCCCCTCATGTAAATTCCAAAGGGAGAAGACCATAAAACCTGACAACATCAAACGCTCGGCTATATTAACCAACGGAACAGATTCAAAAACGACCGTCACATTCCTGACTTGGTACAGGCAAAAGTAGAGTTCGGCGCTTTTAGAATTATTGCTACACCAATATATTTATGTAAACTACAAAATTTCGCCCGTAAAATACGTAACCAATATACTTCTAATATTTACGGAAAAGCTTAAAAAAAAATTGGCAAACATATTAAAGCAAACTATTTTATATATCTCCTTTACCTTTGTAGACTTTGTATGACATCTAGCTGTATTTTTGAATGCATTGGCAACATAAAATGGTTGCGGACACTGGTTTACCTCCAGTTTGTCGAGTGGAACATCTACCGTTATAACTCCTCTGTAACAAAAAAAAACAGGACATACATTTCCAGTGTATACATTGTGTTAACATGCGTTTACCGTTTATGTTTATATGCATGTTTTATTATATAACGTGCAGTTTACATTTTTATACATTCCTTTTTCAGTGCTGACATGATTTACGTTCTGGGTCTAAAAAGTGCATAAAACTTTGAATTCCCTCTGCGTACGTAAAAATCAAAGTAAATTTGTTTATCGTTTTGTCAATAAGGTTTGAATTTTAAATGGTTTGGTTTGTAGATAGATGCCTAAAGTTATGTATAGTTGTCGTGCAAAATATACCATAGAAATTAATACACGTTGACAAAGATGCCTTCCGCATTAGTATGATAAGAATTCAAAGTATCGTCAAACAGGAAGTGACTGTCTGGTAGATCTGGAAATCGCTTATATGGTACAGATTATAAAGTTCCAGACCAATATCAATTCATTCCGTAATGCAAGACCTGGGCAATATGTGTCAAAAACGAACAAAATGACAAACGAACGGATGGATATTTAAAAGAAAGATCACGGTCATTGCAGTTTACCGTCTACTTCAAGGGGTATACAAATTCTCAAAATGAACCATGATGTCACAGTAAGTCACAAAAATGTATAAGTATACATTTAATAAATACTGTACGACGTTTCATCACATATTTTCAACCATATATTTTCCACCATATATCTGCATAAAATACAATACTTTATTACTTTAAAGATAAAACTACATCTGTCATTTCATATACCTAAACCAAACCTATTGCATTCAGGATTTTCAACCACAAGAAAGTATCAGAGACCTTTACCCTCAAGGATAAAAAAAATCCAAACCTCCCAATTGCTCTTGTTCTTCGTCACCATACAAATATAATCCACTGGTCATATAATTACTGTTGACCATGGCAATTAACAACTTAGATATGTGTTACCTAAAGGCCCAAAATAATGAATTACCCAGCCTATTAACTGAAAGAAGAACTTCAGGTTAATGATAGATTCAGTTGAGAACTATGCCAGAAAATGGGTAAAAAGCGAGCAAGATGAACCAAAACTCAACACTTTTTATTTGATGGATCAAAACTTTTCCGTCATGCATTAAAAAGGGCATTAAAATCTACTATTTAAAACAATAAGAACACAGGTTCAAACCTTTTTAAGAAGCTCGAGGTTGTGGATGATCCGTCCTCTCTTCACGACAAAATATTGTTCCAGCAGACAAAGCCTCTAACAACAATGTTTTTATATGCAAAAATCATTATTTTATTTATCTATGTACAGAACTCCGAATTCACAACAAAACTGGGACTCCACACATACCCTTTCATCCTTCACGAAAGAAGAAATTTGAGAAAATCACAAATCTGTCCTCTCTCACTCTGTATTAACATAAAAAGGGACGTTGAAAATCTCTCGTCTTAATACTAGATGCCTAATCTTCACAAAAATCCTTATAAGCTATATATAGACAGGTCATCAAACTGTTCGACTAAACATCTTTTTAAAATTATTACCACCATTTTTCTACAGTAAAAGATAACCTTCAGAAATACTGTGAGGAGGTATATTCTTATCATATTTTGTTGATATTTTTTTCAAATTCTAAAGATCTACTGCAAAATCATCAAACAAGTTCATTACAATTTTGAAGAAATATCAAGACTAGAATTTTCTGCGCTTTCACCATTATTTTCCATGTTCAATTGAAAGATTGAATATATCGTCTAATTAAACAGATTTTTCTACAAAATAGGATTCCTAGATGCATAATTCTTGTTTTAGGCCATGCAATAGCTTACTTTGTAAAGAACCTCACTGATTCCAAAATCAAATACACCGAAATGAATTCACCAAATGCTAAACTTTTGATCGACAACATATTTGTTGAGTTAGGTGGATTGGTATTTCAACGGCAATCGGTATTCCTATGGGTATTAATTGTTCACCCTTACTGGCCGACTTGTTTTTTGTGAAATTTTGATGGCATACTTACGCGAATTCTATTTTATTTGAGATGTAATTCTTTTTAAAGAATGGAGCCGAATATGTCATGATCCAATCATCCACCATTCCATCACATCTGAAATATGGATGTGACCATTGGCCATCGTAGTATGCAGGTGCTTTGTAACGCATAGGAAAGTATTCAAATCGAATCTGACTGGTTCCAGCAGGATCGTACCTAACCATTGGTCTCATCTTATACGTCTGTAGGTGTTCAAAATTTGTTTTCCAGTTAGCTTTCATCTTAACATAAAAATCTTCATAAATGTATTTTCTGGGATTGCCAGCAGTATCAAGGGCAAGAGCACGCCCATCTTGCATGTAAGCAAAAGGACCAAACATTTCTCTTTTGGAACCATCTTGGTTTTCAAACGTGTATGGTTCGAAATAAAGCCCACAAGAAAGAATTTTATGATCAGCCATTACATTGGCAATTACCTCTCCAAACATTTGTTCCATATGTAACCGTCCACCGCCTCTTAGATTACCAAAGTTGTCGCTAGCTTGAACATTTTGTAAGAAGTTACTCAGGAAGTGGGCAAGTCTAAGTGCCGTTCTTCCCTGGTAATCAAATTGTTTGTCGACGCCATAGGCAACGTCTCCTGGTAGATGTAATAGACTTGGAGCTGATGTTTTACAGCTAACCTTATTGATACTTGCTTTCTGTCGAAAAATTCTTATCATTTTTTCAAACCTCATCTGATCAAATTCGGATCTCTCGCCACTATTAACTGTTCTCTTTCTCCTTTTTCTTAACTTATCTTCTAAATAGATTGGTGTAAGTCTCTCTTTTTTTTGTCTTTTTTCAAACAATTTTTGTAATTTTTCCGAATATCTGTTAGACTGTTCCAATTTCAACGTGCGATTATCCACATCAACTGATTTTAGCGTTCGACTTCTTACAACATTCGGTTCAGACCCGTTTAATGATCTTCTTTTTCTAACGTTAATATCTCCTACGCCAAATTCTACGACTACTTGCTCTGTCTTGTCGACAACAGGGAGCACTCCAAGTTCTACAATAATTTAATTTAATGCATTATAAGTAATTTAATCAGTTTCCTGAAAATAAATAAAAAAAAAAACGTGTCATCGATATGTCCATTTTTTTTTAAATTTAATTTTTATAAAATGTAGAATTATTCGAAACACTTAAGTTTTTTCTACCACCAAGTGTAATTTGCCGTAGTCGTATTTGGCACAACTTTTCGGAGCCCATATGGAACAAAAATACCAAATGTCAAAATCGTTAAAAGTAAGATAAGTTTATGTTCATTTGATATTCATTCAACTAACACCCATCGATTAGTGCGTAATGCAAATCGAAATATTTTTTGAGTGATATTATTATTTCTAGGCTGAATATAAAGCTGGCTGGACATCTGTATTTTAAAAATGTTGTATTAGTTTATCGGAGGATAAACACACATGATTACTCTTACTTTCTATAAGGCAAGCTAGTATCAGAACATAGAAAAAGCCATAATAATATCTAACAAAAGAAATACATCTATTTTTTATTTTGCTGTCCTTTCTTAATTTTGTTCTTTTTGATTTCCAAATAAAGTAAACCGGGTTTTTATATATATATTCTTTTTTTATTTTTGGAATTCAAACCTATTCTGAAACAATATTTCTCTTAAAAATGAGACACGATCTCTTTACCCACATTGCGAAATTAACAGGAAGTTGTCGTACAGTAGTTAAACAGAAAAGAAGTATTCAATTTGCCACCACATTTCCAACCTACATTGCCATAAAAGATTGCTGTGAAATATCATTACTTCTTTAAAAACCATTTAATTCAATTAAACATCTACGAATTTAAACTTAAATCTTGACACCCAACGGGAGCTACCACAATATAAAAAGTAACCAGGAAACATTAATTATGATATTAAAATGTCTACAACTTACGTCCATCTTTTACACATTCAAAGTTATTTTTGTATTCTTCGTCAGTCGCTCGTTCTACGTCATCACCTTGGAATGGAGGAGATATCCATCTTGGATATCGATATGGATTCTTACAATGACAAACATATCCTCCACGTCTACGCCCGTAACCCATCTTATGTTTACACTGAAATTAGACATCTACAATAACAAACATATCCCCCAACTCTACGCCCGTAACCAATCTTATGTTTACACTATAAATACACATTGGAAAATCAAAAGCTGACTAGCTTCAAGGTATATTGAAAATAGTTTAAACTTTATTTTCTCTGTAAATAGTTGAGGCGTTTTTTTGTATTTAGACATGTCCTTTATTTGTGGATTTTACTGTTCGATCTGCATTTATTTCACTTTTAAAAGGTATGCATATAACAGTTAAGAAAAACCAATGCATTCATCACTACTCCAACCGAAACTATCACCAAACATAATCACCATACCAAATCTGGTGTTTTTGCTGTAGGTACATCATAAGCTAATGATATCAATTTCAGTACTCCGGGCACGTGCGTCTGGAATCACTTTCATCAGTTACGGTCAAGACTGGAAGTTTTGGAAGCCAAATACATAAATCATAATCATTATTGGTATTGTCCCAAATACTTCTTTATCTACTTTATGCAAATAATTTTAATCGTCTTCAGTGCTTTGAAAACGGCCTGAATTGACAAATAATTGGCGTAAATTTTCTTAATGATTAAATATAATTATGAAATTCTTATACGAGTGTGAATGTTCCAAATCAGGTATCACATCAGAAGTTGACGTTGGATTTTATGTTGTTATTTAGATAATGTTGCGTTGGTGTTGGACTTTTATAGTTTCTATCAAATTCATTTACAACTTTATATATATATAATTAAGAGACCCGGATAAATTTAGAGCTTGACATGTTGTGTAGCCTGACATCTGTGTTGAAGACTGTACGTTACTTTATCGCACCTCGGGTAAATATTATAACGTTACGATTGGTTTAACGCCATCGCGTGGTGACCCTGGCCTATGGATGGATACGTATGCATGGGGTCAGTATATTTCACATGGGATTAATGACGTCACGTTTACTATCAATGGTGGCGTCATCTGTTAATGTTGTTGTCTTTCATTCTTTTATTTTCTACAAAACTCGGCAGGAAAAGTCCCGTTTGCGATAAATCCGTTATACGGTTCATTACTGACCTTCTACGGATCCATAGAGGGTCAATAGCAAACCACATATAACTTATAATATTGACGTCTTTTTGTATTTTTTTTTCTTTGGGTTGCTATTTCATTTACGTATATCCACATCTTAATTAATTTATGTTGCAACTAATTCATGCAATACAGTCCTGAATAAACTTTGGATATTCTGCTTAGGTCAATAAAAGTTAGCTAAAAATACATCTAACCGTTCTAGTAATGTATGGACATACTATTATTTTTTAGAAAGAACCTTTGTGAGCACGGTCACATACCCCACGACCCCACATTGCCACTGGGCAAACACAATCTCAAAGACTCATAAAAATTTCTTGTCGATATGCACATCTATATATTACATGTCCTTATTATCTATAAAGTTTCATGAAATTCTGCTGTGTGGTTTCAGAGGAGTTGCGATGAAAAACTGTTGCAGTAGTATGTTTAGGCCAAAAATCTAAGTTCAAAGGAGCATAACTCCTAGAAAAAAATTGAAGCATATTTTTCTGTCATAATGCACATCGACATAGTATGTCCTTATGATCTACAAAATTTCGTGCAATTTTGTTGTGTGGTTTCAGAGGAGTTGTGCTGACAAGAACAGGACTGACGGACGGACGGACGTGTCAAAAACATTATTAGATACATTGTCGTATCGTCGATATTATATTTGAAAAAAAGAGATTTTAACGTTTCTTGTTTTTCTGACATTCTAACATTGAATGACTATAATTGTGTTATTGTATCTATGTGATCTATGTCAGTATTCTTAATTATCAAAATAGATTAGGATATCTTCTTCCCTAGTGTATCACTTGCAAATACATTTCATACACCTTCCCAATTTATTTCTTCATGTTTTATGCCTCAAATTGCAAGTAGGGGGATTAATTTACGTGGAAAAATGGGTGATGAATTTTAAGGTAAGTTGTGATTTGGTCCAGTTGAAAAAGGTAAAATATTAGTATGTTGGAAGGTGACAAACTGAATTCTAGACCCCTGAACATAAAATATCCATATTTTGAGTTGGAGATGATGACATTTTCTACAATTTTTATATAATTTGTCCCAAAAGTAGTAAAGTGTAAACATATTATTGAGAAAGCGCAGGCTCGATTTTTTAATTGCAAGAAATGCACTACATAATAATTGTGTTATCGAGACATAAAATATGCAATGCAGTTCTGTATCTCTAAAACATTGTTCTGCTTGGTGCTCTAGTATATCTAAAATTATTAGCGTTGTGCAACACCTTTGTCTACCCTTTTCCTATTATAGATATCCCTTTTATCTCCTGTTATGCGTTCTTATGTTATGGAATATAACTATTGGCAATGTAACATCATGGCTTCTTAACTATTTATTTTCAGTTTTACTTCATCTCAATCTTAGAATCGCAATAATTTGAAATATTAGAATGAAGGTTAAATATCATTTAAAAATACCTATAGATAAGGCTATATTAGCACACGTTAATTTGTAATGTAAAATCAACAGATAGAATTATACCCCTGTAGAAGGTGGTTTACATCTTGAAATGCCAGACAGAAAACTCGGTCCAGGATTACCAGGACTGGTACCACAGGCATTAAAATCAATCTCTTGAAGATCTGTATCCATGACAACAACACCTACTATTCTGGAAAGAAAACGTTAATGTAACCTAAAATCTGTCATCAATGAGTCTTGATGCTTAGTCTTAAATAGTTTAAATTATAAAGACTTTTAAGGGTTACGGATTTTAAAAGAAATGAAATTTAACATATTTGATTATGTTGTGATGTTACACTATTGTTTCAGAAAAAGGGTGAAGGTTTGGTACCATTAAAACGTTTAAACCTGCTGCATTTGTTTGCACCTGTCCTAAGTCAGGAATCTGATGTTCAGTAGTTGTCGTTTGTTGATGTGGTTCATAAGTATTTCTCGTTCGATGGAGAGTTGTCTCATTGGCACTAATACCACATCTTCTTATATTTATTGATTGTTTGATATACTCATCTGCTTGCAGCATGAACGTGTGTTTGTTTTTGTGCAGTGTTTTATGTTTATATGTATGCATCGTCCTTGTGTATTGTTTATTTTATATGTATTACAAAGTCTTATTTATGTAGTGGATTGAAAGCTCTTCAGGGCTTATGTTATTTGTAAACTTGCACATCGACTTTAGATGAAACTGTTAATCTTAATTTTATTTGATTTTTAAAACAATATTCTTTGATATCTTTTTATCTATGTTTGTATGTAGCTTTAGAAGTTTTTGTCATTAAAGCACAGATGTAATTGAAGCTATTTTCTAATTTGATTCTGATTGTGCTTTTGATTATCCTTCCCCTGTAATTTAAAAAGGATAAGCGTAAGGTTTGCTACTCACAAAACTAGGTTTACCTCGTAAGGTTTGCTACTCACAAAACTAGGTTTACCTCGTAAGGTGTGCTACTCACAAAACTAGGTTTACCTCGTAATGTGTGCTACTCACAAAACTAGGTTTACCTCTCCCCCTTCTTCACATATACATGGGTCTATTCCAAGTCTGGAAGTCTCAATAGTTGTCCATGATTGTATGCTTTATATGTATAAATAGAATTGTGTATTTTATATGTACGTTCATTTGTCTCCTTAATATGCTGATTGTTAAGGTAATTCCCATCTTTTAAGGACTATGGATGATTTAGAGCTTACCCTATAGTTCTGGCATTGTTCATAGGGTGTGGTGAACACTGGATGGATAATTTTGAAGAATGATCGTTTTTGAGTTTATCTCATTGAAATTTACCTACACAATACTCGTATATATACAGTTTTCATGCTGAAGTACCATGCACTTCAAGTTTCTATTATTATGAGTTAAAAATTAAAACTCTTCCATTTCAATTTCAACTTTTCTTCTGATTTTGATAGAATGAAACCTAACTTCGAACCTAAACTCACCTTTGTCTCCTTAAATGTGTCCAGTTAGAATATCTTGGCATAAAATCAACTATGGGAGCCACGGCACTAACTTTCCATTTCTTAGATCCACGACAATCAAAATAGGGCTGTGTAAAGCGAACTGGCAATAATGTATCGTCCGAGTTTTGTTGTTTTGGTAAGTTAGGTCCAAAGAAGTTAAAATTGTCGAACTGATCATTAGTGAACTTTCCGGTGACATTTGAATACTTGATTCCTACACCAAATGTAAACTTTTTACTTTTATCCAGGGCACTGTCAGTATCAGGTAACCAGAAATTGTACCAAGGGTTCATTTTATAACCATCCGTAGTATAATTTTTATTGGTACCAGCGCCAATGTCCGTTACGTATGCTGCTCGACGTGTTGGCTCACGCAAATAGTTATCTTGGTCATATGTGTCATCCCAACGCCAACCTTTGACGCCAAATAATGGGATGGTGTTGTTGAAATCAAGAGTGACGAACCAATTTGGATAATAACAATTGTTGTCAAAAACTATTGAGCTTCCGTTTATATTGCTCGGGTTGGCGTTCATATCTGCTGTTACCGACATATACAAATAATGAATATTTGGTTGTTGGTAAAATAACTCAGTGTCATTCATCTTCTGTAAAATGTAACTCATGAAATAAGCTCGATTTAAAGCCATATTATGCATGTGGACAAGATTTGTTCGATTTTTATAAATAATCGTACTTTTCAACTGGTTTGCCTTTGGAATTTGCGACACTACATCAGGGCGAAGTAACATTTCCCGTTTAGACTTGCTTCGACAATTTGATCCTTTTACTGCTTGAAACAAATCATCAATAATGTCAAAATTATCCCGTTTCATCCATTCATATTTTCCTGCCAGGACAAAATGACAAAATAAAACAATGACCCAAGGGGCAGCTCTAATCAATAATGAACATCCCGTCAAACTTCTTCGCGCCATTTTTCACATTTGAAGTCTCAAGTAATACTGCCTGAAAAGAGAAAAGTAAACCTATATACTACAGTTATTCTAGATGTAACTCCAAAAGATTGTATTGATAAGTCTTGTTCAACTGTTCTCTCGATCTTTTTTTTCAAAAGGACCAATCAGCTATTTGTCAGTCATAATATATCTGTAATTAATACTGGTTTGTCATGTTCTAGGCTTTGATATTTACTCCTGGTCTTTACTTGGAATCTTATATAAAAATAAGGGAATGTGGTGTGATAGCCAATGAGACAGCTATCCACCAAAGTTCAAATGAAATGAATTTAAGCAATAATAGGCAACCGTACGGCTTTCGACAATGAGAAAAACCCATTCCGTATAGTCGTCTATAAAAGGGCCCGACATGAAAAATATGAAACAATCCAATTGAAAAACTAACGACCTAATTTATAACAAAACAATTTACGACAGATATGACAGACATGAACCAACGACAACCAATGAACTACAGGCTCCTGACTTGGGACAGGCACATAAAGAATGTGGCGGGGTTAACTATGTTTGTGAGCGTTCAACCCTAACCCTAACCTGGGACAGTTGTGTTTCAGCACAACAAAAGAACAAACTATACAAATCAGTTGAAAAAGGCTGAACTCATTAGATTGATACAAAGCAGAAAAACATCAAACATTAACACAGACCGGACGTGGCAGGGTATTTATCTATCCCTCATCCATAACAACAAAAAGGACACTAAATACAGATCTGATAGTACTCGCAGTTACTACAGACAGTTCAAAGCCAATAACAGCTAATAAAAAAATTCCAACTATAAGTATAGACAAGTTATTTGTTCGTTGGTTGCTTAACGCTTAATTTTAAACATTATATAATAGAAAAACAAAGGATATGGGGTATCCATCCATAACACAAAATCAGTACATGCACAGCAAAAAACACACACAAAGCAAAGAAACAGCGCATTTATTGCTGTTCTTCATTTCAAAGTCACAGTGAGGCATTCAACAAGGAGCAAAAAAGGACTGTCACCTCACTGAACGTTTAAGACGGCCACTGTCTCCGGCTTAGGCGGAATTCTTTGCAAAAATAAATGCACTCTGACTTATTCGGGCTTTTAAAGGAGGTAAATCGAGAAAGGAGATATTTTGGAAAACAGTTAGCTTTCCAACGGGGCACAAAGGAACTGTACCGAGTTAGTCCTCTGTTTCTTTAAGATGAAGTATATGTTATTGGTCGATATTTCGAGATTTCATTAAATCTTGTATAGTATTAAGATGGTCTAGATAGCCATATCTTTGTAACCATTGGAATCGTTTATCTATAATATTAGAGTTATAGTTTTAAAATAACTTGGACAGTGAATATTTCTTTGCAGGAGTCATTTTTACAAGTTTCTAATATTCAAAGTTGATGGTCTATAAAATCCGATTAGAAACAAATAGAATAAAGATTTGTTTTCAAAACAATCATTTCATATATAGCGCTCCACTGACTCGTACAAAAGAACAAATAGAATCTTGATCGACTGTGCTCTAGATCTTTTTCAAAGCCAGATTTTCAAAAAGACCAATCTGCTATTTGTAAGTCATAATACATCTGAAATTACTACTGGTTTGTTATGTTCTAGGCTTTGACATTTACTCCTGGTTTTTACTTAGAATCGTATGACGGGTGTAACATGCAAAGCAGGAAAAAATTTACCTTGTAGACACAAATTGGTTTAATTCCTTTAAAAATTAATGTGATTCCGATTGTTTCCACTCGATTCGATGTTTCTCTGCTTTTACTTAGACTTATGAGATATTAACTTAATATCTATGCACTACATTTATATTTGACAAAGCATAAAATGTCATAAAACAATAAGAGTTGTGATTTATATGCTGTCACGCTTTCTTGTCGTGGTTTCTTCTTCTGTGATTAAACTTTCAGTTTATATTCTTATATGAAATATTTATTAAGAAGACTATAAATACCAATATTCATAAGATTAAACGACAAGTGCTCCAAACAGAAAAACAGAGCAATATGAACAAATGGTCTGCATCAGTGACAGTACCTTTTCAAAATGGAATAAAACAATGAGTTTCTTGAGAGTTAAAATAGCTCACTCCCTCATAAGATAATTCTGATTTTTATAAAAAAAAAAAAAAAAAAAAAAAGCAAAGAAACAAACATTCAATTCTAAGCAGACATGGTTGTGTATGTTTAATATTAGATTGTCATACTTTCAGTCTCCGTGGACGGGTATCTTTGACATCCCAATACTGACCCAAGAATATAGTGTCTGGTATGGACATATTGTTAAAGAAACGATTGAGACGATTAAAGCAGAAAATGTCGTGAAATAAGTTGAACTGGAGTTATCGTTAAAAGTGGATCTCGATATAGACTAGACTTATGCGCAATGTCTTGATATATCTTGCTTGATAGCCGAACAGTTGAGTTGAAATGATATATCTCAGGTACTTTGTCTTAATTCACAACTTCAAACTTTTAAGGCAATTTAGAGTAGAAAAGCAAAAGATGCTAACGGGATATTTATACTCGAAAACAAACTGACAATGCCATGACAAAAAAAAAGAAAAAAAGGTTCAAAAGACAAATGACAGTATAAAAACAATACAACATAAAACACTAAAAACTGAGCAACACGAACCCCTTCAAAACCGGGGTTGATTTCAAGTGCTCCGGAAGGGTAAGCGAATCCTGCTTCACAGGGATATTCAAACTCATAAGTCAAAAACAAACTTATAACGAAATGGCAAAAAAAGAAAAACGACGAAAGACAAACAACAGTACACAAAACACAACATAGAAAGCTAGAGACCGAGCAACACGAACCCCACCAAAAGCTGGGGGTGATCTCAGGTGCTCCGGAAGGGAAAGCAGATCCTGTTTCACATGTGGCACCCATCGTGTTGCTCATTTAAGTACAAATCCAGTGATAAGTCTTATTCGGTAGGTCACTTTCGAGGAAAAAAGGACGGATTGGGGTTACGACAATTTGAACATGTCTGTTGTCATCTGTGAAACAGATATTCCATAAAGGTCAACCAACTCGTGATGGCGTCAGTAAAATTTTCAAAGGGATGATTTCAACTTCACCACTTGGAACTCTTGGTTTAATAGCTTTTTTGTAAGAGGCAACCATGTGTCAAGGAAATGCTGATAGGAAATGAAAGCTCTGCAATATCGTTTCAACTGATATATATATACTCCATATGCAGGCGCTGCTGGACTGTTGCTATGTAGAAATGGAAAGTTCACCATTGAGCTTTACATTCTGTTTAGAAACCGGTTTATTGCCGAAAACCTTCTGTTGAACTTTTTGTTGTTTTCATTGGGTTGCTGACTCACTGACGTATACCTCACATATCAGTTCATTCAAAGTCGATAAATTTTCAGGTGATGCATTTTGTATTTTTATTACAAGTAAAGGTTGCATCTTCCTGACAGTAGACAATTTTGGCTATATTTTCTTTGCTCCGTTTGGTTTGACTTTCCAAATGTTTGGCTTTAGGCGTTTCTGGTGAAGAGTTATTAAATATTGCATCGAGCGGGACAATTTAAGTTTCAACTTTGTTCTCAGACAAATATAGTTTAATGGTTAAACCTAAATGTTTTTCTTTATATCCTAATGCGTAGGCATTTTGTAAATTCCATGAAAAGATATAAGCAATTCTTACCTTAAACTATGCATGCATTTTGTGTCCTTCAAGTTTGGTGTGCAAAACCATATTCCTTGTGAAAGTAAACTACCTCAATATTGCAATCAATATCCCATAATATATGATTGACGTACATGTATTTAGTTCTTTGTTTTCAATATATTTTCAATTGATAAGATCATTTTAACATTTTGACACGAAGTCGATTCTTCCAGCACAATAACATGAGAGCAATTCGAAAAAGAAAATTTTTCTCTGTTGCATCAAAATATTTTCTTCAAAAGTTTAGAATTCGATTATAATAATAAAGTGTATGAAAGATAAAAAAAAAACATTTTGAAAGCCTAATCATAGCCATAATTAAAAGATAAATTAAATATTCCCTGGACCATCAGTTGTGTAAATATAAACTAAAAGCTATCTATTTTCGTGCAAGATTGATGAGGCCGATTTTATGATTGTCAAGTTTCAAGTGGTTTTATCAAAACTTAAACACGTCTTATACGAAACCACTAATTACATCTGACGTGATTAGATACATATGTATTTGCGGTTTTGTTTTTTAAAGGATGTTAAAAAATACAAAAATATTATTTTTTCCATTATTTAAAAATGTAGAAAATCAAAATAACCTATAATTACTTCCGGTCCGCCATTTTTGAGAAGTCAGAACACAAAATTTCGACGAAACAAAATATAGAATATACATGTTCTGATTAAATATTTTATTGTATTTTAATATATTTTAATATATGGTTTTTACCTTAATGGTTTCTTTGTCTTTCTTTGGTGCTCATTTGTACAAATGTATCTAAAATACAATAAAAAATCCAACAACAGATCACATATTGAAATTATTTATCAGTCATATTAGTCAGACCAAATGGGGTTATCTGAAGATAAATGTCGCGTTATCAGTAGTTTTTGTCCTTCGTCGAATCTAGCAACACAACAACGTCTGATAAGCATTGAATATTTGCAAATAACTCATTTTGATAAAGTTTAACAAGTTCTTTGAATTGATCAGATTTCAATTTGTCCGATTTAAAAAAACAACTCCAAATTTAAACTTGTAACGAGAGTTTACAATATTGATATTGTCATAGTTTGGTTCAGTTGGACATGAATTCAAGCTGATAAATATCTTTGTTTATAGCTTATATGTTAGTAAATTCGTTCATACAGATACTCGTTTACCAAACATAAAAAAGATGTGCTTACTGTCTGTTAAATCACATATTTCGTTATAATATACAATGGCCATAATTTTTTTTCGAAAAAATAGCTTCTTTTGCACATACTTTGAGATTACTGACAATTCAGTGTTATCATGTATCATTCCAAATGTTTAGATGCGAGCACCACCGATGAGTCACAAAATTACTTCAATTTTGTTTTAGATATTCACGAAATAATGATTTTGAAGGGGATTTGTGCATCTTAGTCTTAAGTTTGTCCTAGATCACTTTGATTGTATTTTCTACTTTATTCTAGACTTAGGGCGATTAAGAAATTGACATATTGTATAGATAGCTGTCTTTTGTTGAAGACAGTACGATGCCCTCTTGATATCGTTTGGTTAGTTGTTGTTGGGTTACTGTATCATTGGCGTATTACCCCGATATCTCCTTTTTTTCGTCATAGACATAATCTAGTTCAAAATAAAATCAACAGATGAATAATTTATATAACACAAATGTAAAAAACAAATGACTCACTGTTACGTTTTGCAACTTTAAATATAGACGTCTTTAACCATTTGGCAGGTGGTGACGCTCACGATATCTATAACTTCCCGACAGATCCAATCATTGGCATACAGAGAAAAGGTTCTGTGTGAAACAGAAACAATGCTTGATGTTTTTGTTATTTATTTTACCGAATGCCAGTTCAAAAGTGTTTTGGCTATATCAATTCTATCTTAGGCTTCCTCCACCAATAAAAATTGACCGCCGGACAATAGTGCTGAAAGTGGAGTTAAACACCAATCAATCAATATCATTATTATTATTATTATTATTATTATTATTATTATTATTATTATTATTATTATTATTATTATTATACCCCGTCTCAAATGAGATGTATTATATTGGTTCACCTCTGTCCGTCCGTCCATGCGTCAGTAGGAGGAATTAGTTACACAAAAATGTAACATCTTTTGTAAACTTTGCTGGAACAAAATACTTTTTTCTCAAGTACTGAAAAATACGAAAAAAATCAACTTCAATACTACAATAAGTGCAACGCCCCTCGCACTAAATTTTATAGAATATACCCTTCCATTGACTAACCGTTTGTTAAACAAATACAGTACTTATTATTACTCGACTTTCAATACTTTTAGATCGAGCTATTAGCCCCGAACCACGATCCTTTCATTTGTAAATCTATAGTATTTGTTTAAATCAAAACTTGATCTGACGATCTTCATATTATTCAAATATTGATACTTTCGAGAATGATAATATAAAAAAAAAATCAGTGACTCGGTGGTACAATTCAAGGATTTTTCCCTCGTTGTTTTCTATTTATTGATGGTAAGAATGAAAAAAAGTATGTACTGTTCATTGCGGATATTAATGTTTTTTTTTTTCTTTTTCGTCTTATTTTCATATAAATTGGCTTACATTTGTCATTTTTGGACCTTTTATATCTTGCTTTGCGGTATCATTTTTGCTCAGTGTTGAAGGCCGTTCGGGTATTTAATGGTTGCTAACTTTTACGTCATTTAATTTGTGGTGAAAAGCTCTCTCGTTTGCAATCATGTCCCATCGTCTTATTTTCAAATGTTCATATGCCTGTCTTAAGTCAGGAGCCAGTAAAAAAAGTGGTTGTCGTTGGTTACTGTCTGTCATATTTGGTATAGTGTCCGGCTGAGATCGTGTTTTTTCGAGTGAAACGGTCCACCTTTTTTCAAGTGTAGATCAGGTTGTTTCGAGTGACATTACATGCGATCAGATTTAGTTACTGCTATTTCGCGAGTATCATAGCTTTTGATTTTGCCATTTGATAAGGGACTTTCCGATTTGAATTTTCCTTGGAGTTCGGTATTTTTTACTTTTTATTCATGAATGTTCATCTTATTCTGAATACTATACATGTTTTGAGCACAAACGACGCACAATTTCCTTGAAGATGACTTAAAATTCAGTGTTTTACATTGTCCCGGTTTTTTCGAGAGCAACATTTAAAACATCCGAGTTTTTTAACAATTAGTCCGGGGTTTTAAAAGAAAATATGAATAAGAAAGAAGGCATTCTTGGGCTTAAAAACTTACTTTTTTCTATTTTGCAACTGTAATTTAGCGAAGGACAATATTATATATTCCTAATAAGTCACAAAAACATATTACTGTTGATTAAATTTTGTTCTGAAAACATTCTACCATAACCTTGCAGTAATAAGATATATTACAAATTACCGGATTCTTTATATAATTGTCTTTAGAATCCAGAACAGGGGATTCATAGTCTTTTACTTTTCATTTCATACTACAATTTGTTTTTACAGTAAAAAAATATTTTATGATTTCTATTTATTACAGGTGCGAACCCTGGAGTTTTAAAAATAGGGATAAGAAAACTAAGGGACAGTAATAAATCAGTAAAATGCAATATAAAAACAAATATTCTACCAAGAGAGGCCTATAGCCAGGTCATTCTCTCCCCCCCCCCCCCAAAAAAAAAATACAATATCAAAATAACACAAAAACTTAATCCGCCACTGTTCTATTTCCCATTGACAATAAATTTTGAATTTAGATAAAATATATGATAAACAATTAAATAAGTAATCTATAAGTTTTATTAAGATCCTTTTGAAACAATAAAAAGAAAAATGTGTATATAATAGTGTGCACCTCGTGTTTTTAAATCGTGTCTTTCGCAGAGTTCAATAGATAAACATATTAATTGTAATGTCTAGACAAAATTCCCTATTTTCCATTTTTTGAGGCACTGCTATCTGAAGTAAAGGAAGCTATCATGGTGCTTTATTGCTGTGTGACCAAGTATAACATACGCTTGATCATACTCCTCATCACAGTAGTAACATTTGAACATTGTTCTTGTATACCATTCATAAAACGATAAAACGAATTATTATCAAGACAAATAGTGAATGAAACATTTAGGATGTATTTTCTGTTAAAAAGAATACGCATACCCACTTGACACACAATATGTACGTACATCTCAATCTAACATTGTACTGTTTAATACTTTAGCCTGGGAAATCATAATTTAGTTTTTAGTTGTAATTGGCTTTGAACTAGCTTTCACCAACTGCTAGTATTCTTATATCGGTAATTTGTGTCTATATATTGTTTTTTTTTGTTAGTTGATTTGTGTTTGTGATTCGTATTGATCTATTGAGTTAAGCCATTTGCAACTGATTTTTACAGTTTATTCTTATATTGTGTTGTAAAACCATTGTTCAATGTTAGAGGAGGCTTGGGCGCTTACAATAGTTATAAGAAGATGTGGTATGAGTGCCAATGAGACAACTATCCATCCAAGTCAAAATTTATAAAAGTAAACCAATATAGGTTTAACTCCGTCAAATTCTTTTTATTAATATTACCATAGCTAAAAACTACATCTTCAGATGTAAGTTAAGAAATATAGCTCCTAGTGTAATAAGACTAAAATCCAGAATAAAACAATACCAAAGAATTTTATATTGCAAACAAAAATAATAGAGCAAATGCTTATGAAAGATTCTGGTCCCAATTACATAAAATATTGTCGTGATTTATTATCATTTATACTTTAAATTATACTGTAGCGAGCAGTAGATATTTGTATTTAACCTTATGTATAGACATGCATGCATACTAATGCACGTTATTGCGTAAATACGTCGAAATCATACACAGCACGATTATAAGCAACCCTGGTAAAATAAATCATAACAAATAATCTATAAAGTACTTCTATCTATAGGCTCAGTAGGTGTTACCTTTTCTAATTATCTATGAAACTAGATCTAATATCTACTGGTTTCCAATGCAGATATTACTTTTATCAAAAAGTCAAAATTTGACATGTCAGATGTAACAGACTATACGCATAATAACCTTTACGGGGGTGTTTGTGATCTTCAGGAAAATGTGAAACTCGCGAAAATTTGCAGGAATGTTCTATGGCATATTTTATTTAGGATTTCATTAGCAAATTTTTGCTGATTGAACTACCGAACTGATCTTTTGGCAAATATGAATAGTTTTCACCATGGTCAGATTTTAGAAAATGTTAATTTATCAAAATTGATGGTACTTTAACATACGGTGTTATGTTATTTCGTTTTGATAAACGACGCTTATTTAAGTACATAGATGAATCATTTCAAAACCGGCTTTTTACAACATTCACACCACAAATAAAAACTCAACAGTATAAAGTAAATGTCTTGCAAGAATGTCCAATGTCGAATTTTGACGTTTTTTTTACTGGTAAAGTGTCAATAATTAGAATATTTGAGTTAAAGTATATAAAATAGTGTTCTCCGCTATTGTACTTGAACGCTTTAAAACGATTTCGTACTTTTTGATTGTTTGCTTACTCGATAAAACCTCGCTTTTGAACATATCCAATGTCTTGCAAGTTTGTCCACTGAACGATTTTATTTCGTACGTTTTCGTTTCGGGACGCTATCAATGTCTTTTCGAAATGAAATTTAAAGGTTTTCATATTCATTATTTAAACGTGTTTTTTTTTTGTGTACGCAATTTAATGTGTTTGCGATTTTGTATTTGTAATTCTTAGATGCTTTTAAAATAAAAAGTACTGTTCAACCTCATCAATTCTAAGATAAACAAAACTATAAAATACTCTCATAAGTTATATGCAAA